AAATCAACTCATGGTTATTTAATGCTGATCGATAGGCTGCTAATGTGTTACTAACACAGTTATTAAAGTGTAATAATAAAAAGTTGCCTCTGAAGACATGTGAAAAAACAATGTGTTTGTAGTAGACAATAAACAGAGTTTTCTGTCTTACACTGAAAAGTTTTTTCTTCTCAATAATTTTAAACTTTGTTTTGTTATTATTTTTGTGATGTCATACACATACACATAAATGTGTGCCTAACGCTTAAAATAACATCTCAGTTTTAATTTGTTGTTTTTCTTTTGTCAAAAATCTTTTTTTTGTTGTTAACTGAGTCAAGTAATTTAGCCAGTTGAGTTCCATATGATGAACCGTCGGAATTTTGGTTTTTGACTCCAAGTGGTGTCCATGCAAAATAACAGCAGCTACTGTTTGTCTGTCTGTCTGTCTGTCTGTTTTCGACATAGAACTTTGCACAAATATGCGGAAGTTCAAGTCGCCACATTCCCTTCTTGTAGCACACAAAGCAAGAGAAGAAAGTACAAGAAAAGCATAATAGAGACAGTAAGCAGAGGTGTGAGACAAAGGAGGAGTAATAACGAAGAACAAAACAGTTTCATTGGAGATCATAAGTCACAAGGAGTGAATGCATCTGCGCTGTCACTGAGAACGGTTTTGAGCCATGTCACCAATTGTTTCCAACCATTTGTTTTTACCGTCCTGAGGACCCCAACCATTCAGGAAGTCTACACCTTCCTACGTGGCTTAGACCGACTGTTGTGGATTTCATTGACTGGTACCAAGTTTTTGTTTAACCTCCGCTAGCTTTTTTCCAGCCTGACCCTATGTCCGCTAACATTGCTCGTTGAGGAAGGCGATTACTTGGCATACGTAACACATGTCCTAACCATCTCAGTCTATGTAACTTCGCGACGTCGTCGATTGATTTCCCCTGTTTACCTAGAACTCGACGCCTAACTTCAATGTTGCTCACCTTATTATGCTACTTTAAACGGGAAATAGAGCGCAGGCACCTATGATCAAAAGCTACTGTTTAGCTTGATATAAGGATAAAACTTGGGAACTTTGGTAGAGTCTAACTCCATTATGGTTAAAATTTTATTTTGATAAAATCACACAGTGCTGTTATACAGTAATATTTACTGATGACCACGTTTCGAGCAAAATTTTGTTGCCACTCATAATCTTATCAAGGTATTCACACGACTTCCTAACTTCATTTACATACACGAGTAAAAACTGATTAGACATTTGAATAAAAATCAATATGAGATAAAGTACATTCGGAAATAACATGTGTTATCAGTAAAATACAATCAGATGAGGAATAAGATGCGTCGGTGGCACCGTCAACCATGCACACGATCTGAGGTTCGATCCCCTACCGACGCACACCTGATATTATGGTCGGCCGACAAAATTTGGGCTACCGATATTGTATGCTGAAAATTCCATACTTCTACCAGAAATACAGTGTGGAATCAAGCTGTAATCAAAAATAAAAAAATAATTTGTTAGAATGTTATAATGTTGTATGTGAATTGAATACATTTTAACATTGTTTACTTATTATTGTCTGATTTGTCTGGCAATAACATCTTCCATATCTCTAAGATTTGCGTTAGTTCATTTCTATTGCGTGTGTTGCGTGTAGATTCGATGAACCAGGATTCAGTAATTAATCTCTCTCTGTCCACCTACCTATATTACTTTTCAAGATTTTAACACCATTGTTAACTGTGTGGTTGTGTATTAATGCATACAAGGGGTCAATCATTCTAACCTTAGCTAAATTCTTATGTTCTGATGATCTGGCTACCCCCGCTCGATCTACTGGTCTGACTGACCTATATAGTTGACCTCACTCACAATCATTGCAAGGTGTTTTGTAAATTATATCATTTTACCTAACTGGGTCAACCTACGGGGTCCTTTAGCTTACAGAGCTTGTCCTACCTGAGTGAGTGAGTTTTCTAGGTTTGAATGCCCCCCCCCTAATGCCTTCTTTATTGAGAATCCTGCTTAGGGTCTCAGATACTCCCCACTCCCGCACTCAAAACATGCAATGGAAGTGACTCAATCAAATTCCAGAGATATGGAAGATATTATTGCCAGACAGATCAGACGATAATAAATAAACAAATGTTAAAATGTATTGAATTTACATAATAGCATTTCAACGAGTTATTTATTTATTTTACTATACAAACATCTTATTTCTCATCTGATTGCATTTTACTGATAACTGATATACGTTCCGAGTGTACTTTATCATTTTGATATTGATTTTTTTCAAGTCTCTGATCATTAGTTGTTACTCATGCATATAAATGAAGCAAAAAAAAGTTGTGTGAGTAGTGCCTTGACATGATTATGAGGAGCAATGATAAATTGTGCTGGAAACGTGATCATCAGTAAATATTACTTGTTTAACAAACTGTGTGATTTTATCAAAATAAAAATTTTAATCTATAATGGAGCCGCTGTCTAGCTTGTCGATTAGGCATTCAGTTCTCTCTTTTTTATACGTACACGTCAACCACAAAGCATTTTTCCCATGTACCTGATAACTCGAAAACAATGTGAAAGGAAAGCACAAGTATTTAAGTAGTAAAGAACATCTTTTAAAAGCTTTTAAGCTAATCTCTGGATTTAAAAACACCGTTATTATTATTATTATTAGTTTGTTCCCTTGAGTTCCTAGTGGAACAACATAGGGCTTCAACTGCACGTCTCCACTTGCTTCTGTCTTCTGATGTACTTTTCACTTGCATCCATGTTAGTTAGTCCATACTGTTTCAACTCCTCATTTCACGATATCCTCCTTCATTTCACCCTTGCTCTGACGACCCACTCGCCGTTTCTCTTTCGGGTTCCACTCGAGCATTGGCCTGACGCGCAATGTCACCCAGCGGCCTCCTCAGCGAGTTTCCAATCCATCTCCACTTTCTCCTGCATATTTGTTGGCTGGCGATTGGTTCTTGTTTTGTTTGTCCCCATAGTTTCTTGTTGGTGATTCTTCCCCGCACGGCCATCTGATCTTCAGTATAGAGCCAGCGAAGACAGCTGTTGATAAAGGTAACGTTTGCAACAGGTTGTTGGAAATATTCTTTGTGACCCGCCTGCCAAGTTTCTGATCTGTATAGAAGAAGTGACTGACTTGACGTTTGCATGGTAACCGCTGGAACTGAGAGACATTTGTTACAACACCTCAGCTACAACTATACAGTGTGATGTCAAGTTTTCAATATTTTCCAACGATTATGCGACTTTTTTGCATCTGAGTTCTGGTTGATTGTTCAAGGTCACTGTGATTGTGGCAATGATAGTTTAACTTTGACCCCAACTGACTAGGTTTCACATAACTTACCCTTCGAAATATGAGATAGTCCTTTTGAGTATCCCAGGAAAGACTGACGGTGGAGGAGCAATGAAGAATAATAGGTAAGATGCAAGAGTTAACAAACTGTAAAAAGAGAGAGAGAGAGTTTGAGTTTTTCTTGATTGTCTCAACTTTTTAATGTGGAGTAGGTTAGACTTACTTACTTACTTTACTTTACTTCGGCTATCTCCTACGGGAGGATGAGCCGGCTTCATGAACGTCTCGAATCATCGCTGCCCAGGCGCGGCAATTTGTAAGAGAGTTCATGAAGTTTCATGGGAATTTGGTACGAGTGATGTCCCCAGAATCGCTCGGCCTTTTGTTTGAGAGTGCAGCTCTAGCCTTTACACAGCCAAGTGTGACCTACAAGGCAGTAGGAGTGGAGTAAGGAGTCCACTATCCATTGGCAGCCGGTGACCGGAGTTCGGTTCATACGCCTTTTTGAATGGGGCCAGACATCCAGGACATCCAACAAGCCCTTTGTCCATACGTCTGCCGGTGAGCTCCAGTGAGCTTCATACGCCAGTCGTTGGAGGTTTGGAATCAGGGTTTAGCCATCTCCCCTAGACCGTCATCCAATGGACAGTCAACCCGGTGGAGAGCGCCGGGCATCCGCTTTTGCCCTCTTACTTTGGTGAGAAACACCTCCGCCACGTGAAGGCAGTGAGTAGGACTTCCTCAGGAGAGGCTATGTAAGACGCCCGGTCATATGGGAGCATTTCAAGAGGTGTGCGGAGGGGTGGCCAACCCGCGGCGCAAGGCACCCACCCCCGACCATCCTGAGGCTTTGGAGGTTAGACGGTAGACAACTATTCCAGGATATTTCATGCTTGACTTATTCTCTGTATCAGTGCTCTGGAAGCTACAAATATTGCGTGAGCTAATGAGTTAGTTAAGATCATTTTTATGCTCCTAAAGGTGAAATTTCACTGTCTGACATTTTTAAGGATTTAACGTAAAACTCATTAAACTTAGGCCACCGGATAATGTTGAACAGAAAGCTATTCAGTTTTGAACAGTTAGCTGGGGAAGTAATTGGCAACAAGACAGTAAGATCGTGTTATGTACTGCTGCTGAGTGGTTAATAGTAGTTTTTCCCGTCGCCAATTATGTTATGTACTCGTCGAGTAGTTAATAGTCTTGACGCGGAAAGAGGGAAATCAGAAGACCACCAGATTTACGATGATACTTGTATTTTCCAGACAAGGAAAATAAATGTCACACAAGTGTGTGAGTGAAATGGCACGTAGCGTACGAAAAAAATGTATGAGCAAGAATCAACAAGTATACAGTACAAAAGTATATATGAAAATGGCTAATACACATGAACCAATAGGGCAGTCATCTTACCATGATTGGTTGTAATGTCATGTGATAATAAGGTCATACATTGTTTATTTGGTTAGTGGACAGACAAAAGCATAATGTCAGTTATAATGGAATATCGATCCATATACACATAGCAAAATATAACAGACTGTCAAAAACAAAACACACATCATGTGGATACATATCAGGTCGTCAGCATATTTAACATACTATACAAGGTGTTTTTTTCTCTTTCTAGTAATCTCGTGTTTCTTTGTAAAATAAATTTTTGTTTCTTTTATAATTTAGTTTCAACAAGGTGGTAATCCAGCTCAACAACCACTTCCGTCCTATCAACCGCCTGTACCAGCTGCAGCTCCAGGAGCAATAGGTTTCGGAAGTAAGCACTTTTACTTTTCGACTATTTTTATTATCAAGTCTTGATGATAATTTACAGTGCTATTTATGGTAGTGAAGTGCTAATGGAAATCCAACCGACAGTTGCTATCCTGATGCAGTTAGTGGTCGGGTTTGCATATCGCAGTGAACCGATGGACTACACGGATTGACTGGAGCTAATGTTCTTGCAGGTTTTACCATGCTAGAAAGGTTTTTTTTGGATAGTAGTCAACTAAAAGCAGTTACACCATCATAGTATTGGTTGTTTACACTGTGTGTGTGTGTGTGTGTGTGTGGAGGGTGGGGGTGATTCTGTGGGCAAAGTTGTACGTCTGGCAAGTAGGGATTTCAAGTTTAATCGCGAGTTGATATCAGTTAGAGAACCATTGTAAAATTAAGGGGGAGTACTGGACCATCTGTTTGGGACTCCTCATCAGTACGCACCCACCAAATGGGTTTGGAACTCAGGACCTTCCGGGTTACAAGGCGAGATCGCAGATCGTTCTTAGCTACTGGGATCCGACTCAATAGCCCTAACCTAATGCTCGCCAGGGAGGGGCTACAGGACGAAGTTGCTTAAAGTTCTAGTGAGTAGCCATAAGCAGTGGGGTTCACCCATCAGGGAGTAAAGACAAATACTCACCATTAATGCCATTAGTAAAAGTTAGAATTCATTGGTTAGTCTGAATGGTCTACGAGCTTGATGTTTAACTGGAAGGACCTGGGTGCAAATCCCTGTGCTGGGTGCTGATTGCTGATGAGTCACAAACTGGGTGGCCAAACAACTCTGCAGTATTCCCTCCTGGCTTTCAATGATTCGCTCTCTAACTGATATCAATCGGTGATCAAACCTGAAATTTCATAGATTGTTGCCTTGTTTTGATTTCGCCTCATCCGTAACTCTTTTTCGACCTAATTGTCTGTCAGCTAGCATTGTTTCACGAGGAAATTGGTAGATTTGTGTAAGTGTCACGACTCTCTTAGTCACCTCAATCGATGGAGCTTTACAACCTCGTGTGGAAACTACTGATCTCTGTTTAAGAGTCACCTCTTTAGATAGCAGACTATTATTGGATTATCAAGTTACGTTAACTATCTCTTGTACAACATAGACAGGTCGTTTGGACTGTCGATTATTCGATGGTTGAAGGTTATTGGTAGGAGGAAATCTTGCCTGACCTAGGTTTTTTGCTTGTTGGCAACAAGGCGTATCTGCAATTACCTTGAAAGAACTCACATCCCTCCTGAGATTCAAATCAGAGTCTCCCAGTGCTACTTGCAATCAGAAATGCGTTACCACTGAACTATTCGGAGTCGTGATTGTTCTCCTCTGTAGGACTGTATTGGATATTCGTTACTAACTAGTGTACAATCAAAGACTTTCTGAACAAAGCAAGAGCAGATCTATTCGCAGGGTGAAAGGAGCTCACTTTTTATACTACGAGTTTTGTTCAGCTGCCAACAGCTTAACGCGTTGCATAAGTTCTTATAAAGGAAAATATATAATATGCATTTAAAAATTAATTAAATTCAAAGGGTGTTTTGATTGGACACTAGTGTAATGTGTCTAGTTCTTTCTTTAGTGGAGATTGAATTCTATCAGTCAAGTTTGGAATATACACAGGAAGTCTATGTGTGCTCTTGGAAGTGTGTGGGCGGTTGTTACATCCCGGTTGCCCACACCGTGGAGGTTGATCGGTTCTTCAGGTACCTGAAATAGAAAGAGAGTTAGTGTTGCGTGACTGCAGAGTTCAAGGGACAACTACTTGAGGCCGGTCACACCCAGCCTGTATGAACTGGCTTTTAGGTTTAGTTCCGTATTAGTAACTTACCACCGGTTACGGACCACCGTAGGGTAAGTCGGGATGTACTACTGTTGGGGTCGACTCTTTCTAACCCCCTCTCTCCCTCCAGAGTGAAGAGACAGCATAGCTGGCTGGCTGGCGTTCTGGTCATCTGAGAGAAACACCTCACTGCTGTTACATCCCTGTTCCCCAGCAGTACGACTTCGCCAACAGACCCCCAGCATAGTGCAGAAAAAAATTCCTACACCATTTCGGTAACTGCTTTTAATCTAGCCGCTATCCTAACAACCTTCCTAACATGTTTGGACCTTCAGAAACAATATTTCCAGCCAGTGTAGCTTGTTGGGTCATTTTGATGTGCAAGCCCAACCACTACGTCAAGGTAGCAGCTATCGGTCAGGGCAATGTAGCCACCACGTCACATGGCTCACCATCACGATGCATTGCGATATGAATCGTTGATATTAGATGGTTGGGGGCAACCGCCAAGTGGAAGCCCTGGACCTAGGTTTCGTGCCAGTTGGCACTCACCAGTCAGCAAGGCGTATCTAAAACCCTGAAGGAACTCATGCACTTACAGAAGTTCAGTTGCTGATTACAGCTCTGAGTGGTTTCGAATCTCATAAGTTCCTTCAAGGTCGTAGGTACGCCCTGCTGACGGGGGTCGATTGTTACGAAACCTAGGTCGAAAGCTTCCTCTTGGCGATTGCCGTCAACCATCCAATATCAACATTTCGAACGGCTTTGGTTGTCTAGCACTAGGTGGAGAACATTTAGTAGATTTACTGAGCATATCCCTAACAATCTTCAAATGTGGTTAATCATGCATATAACCCTGATAACTCGATGTCTCTTTTTTGTGTCACTTCATTTTGGATTTTGACTCACTGGCCTAAACTCATTCTTAATCTTCCAAACTTTATCTCAATCGCCTGTTTACGTCTGACTGGGTGAGTTTCAGCACAGGACTTTGCCCAAAGTGCCATTTTTGAGTGATTTTGAACAATGTCATCGATTGTCTCTGGCAATTGGTTTTCCGCATCCCAAAGACCTCAACCAAGAAGCTTACACATCCGTACGTGGTTGGCTGAGACTAACTGTCAGAGATTTCATGGACTGATTCCAAGTTTTGGTTTGATCACCACCGCCACCCAAATCGCCACACTACAGATCATCATTGAACAAAGCTTGGAATGGTAGTCACCTCTCTATCTCAACTTCATCGACTTTGAAAAGGCGTTCAACAGCGTCGATCGAGAGGCGATTTCGAAACTGCTTCACCGCCCACAGTTATACATCTCATCCAACAGTTGTACGACAATGTTGCATGCCAAGTAATTCACAACGGGAAACTCACGAAATCCTTCGAAGTGAAGAGGGGAATAAGACAAATTGGTTGCCTACTATCTCCACTGTTTTTCCTGATTGCAGTACACTGGATAATGCGACAGACACACAGCAGGCGACCAGAAGACAGGCATAAAATGGACCCTCACGAAAACTTGGAGGATCTGAACTTCGCCGATGATATATGTCTGATTTCCCACAAACTGGAAGATATGCAAGTGTAAAGCAACAAGTCGGCAGAAGAAGCATCAAAGATAGGATTCCAAGTAAACATGGAGAAAACAGAAGTGATAAAGATTCCTGACCAACTGCAGCAACAGCAACAACAACAGACAACAAGCAGCATAAATGGGAGGTACCTGCAAGAAACAACCTCCTTTACCCACCCACCTACCTGGGAAGCATCGTTTCAACTACAGACGGACGGAACTGACAAGAATATCACAGCGAGGATTGGTAAATCAAGGTAAGCTTTCATTACTTTCAAGTAAGTCTGTGTGGAGGACAACAAAATTACTCAGCATGAAAAAATAAGATCCGGATTTTCAACTCCAAATGTGAAGTCAGTGCTACTTATTATACGGATGAGAGACTTGGCGCGTCATAACGAGCACCTCAAACAAACTACAGACCTTCATCAACAGCTGTCTTCGCTCAATACTTCGCTCAAGATCAGATGACTGGAAAGATCAGCATTAGGGATTGATCTCTGGGAGCGAGCCAACTCATCAGGAACCGATTTTGCAACAAATAAGCAGGTAGAAATGGAGATGGGTTGGCCATACTCCGAGGAAACAAGCCATCAAGTGATATCATTAGACAAGCCATTGCTCGAGTGGAACCCGAAAGGGAAGCGCCGAGTTGGTCGTCAGTGCAAGGGTGACTTGGATGAGGTCATGTGAATAGGAAATGAAAGCATGTGGGCAGGCATGGAGCTAGGTGAAAACTTAAGCATAGAACCGAACGCAGTGGAGACGTTTGGCTGAAGCCCTATGTTCCTCTAGGAATTAAAGGAAATAATAATACCACCACTAGCTCTTTTCTAATCTAATCCAGTTAACATCTCCCGTCGAGGAAGGCGATGGTTAGGATATGTGTTGCGTAGTCGATGTAACTTCACTATCTCATCGATTGACCTTCCCTTCTCATCAAACACTCGACATCTAACCTCAATGTTATTCGCTGTATCATACCACCAAGTAACATGGGAGATAAACTCAAACACTTCTGATCAAAGACGGCCAACTTTTTCATATCTTCCACTTTCATTGTCCATGTCTCATAGCCGTAAAGCGGACGGAGCGAGCTGCTGCTTCTGCACACAGTATGCATGTCCATTTGATCGGCAGCCAGCCTGTTGACCACGTCACTACACTAGAGATATGGTGCCAATCGGAAGGTGCCTCATGATCCCTGTTGAAATAGTAATCTCACTTTCCCTAACCATTTCTTTTCACTCCCATCCTCTCATATCTAACTTTTTATTCACTATATTGCGTGTATATATATCTCATTTCCCGTAGGTGTATGCTGTTTGAGTTGAAATATTTTCTTGAGGTATGTTATATGCGACATTTTGTATTTATGACAACTTATGTTCTTTTTGGCTGTTAGCAGCTGGAGGAACACCGTGAAAGCTAATCATACCAGCTGGGGGTGTCTGAAAGCAGATTGTCATCAGTAGTATTATCATATCATCCCGACCGATAGCTACTACCTTGACGTGGTGGTTGGGCTTGCACATCAAAATGACCCAACAAGCTACACTGGCTGGAAATATTGTTTCTGAAGGTCCAAACATGTTAGGAAGGTTGTTAGGATAGCGGCTAGATTAAAAGCAGTTACCGAAATGGTGTAGGAATTTTTTTCTGCACTATGCTGGGGGTCTGTTGGCGAAGTCGTACTGCTGGGGAACAGGGATGTAACAGCAGTGAGGTGTTTCTCTCAGATGACCAGAACGCCAGCCAGCCAGCTATGCTGTCTCTTTGTCTGTCTGTCTGTCTGGATTCAACATAGAACTTGGCACCGAAGTGCACCAGTTCGAGTTGCCACGTTCCAAATAGCACACAGAGGTAGACAAGAAGATGAGTGAAGAGAATCAATAGAGTTTGACAAGTATAAGAGTGAAACAGAATGGGTAATGGTAGAAAGGAATATGAAAGATTACAGAGACTGAATACATCTGAGCTGGCCATTGACAACGATTTTGAGCCATGTCACCTATTGTCTCCAGCCATTGATTCCTAGAGTCCCGAGGGCCCCAACCCGGGAGTCTGCATCTCCCTACCTGACTCAGTTTAACTGTCAAGGATTTCATGGATTGATGCCATGTTTTTGTTTGGCCACCACTGGCTCTTTTCCAACCTGAACCTATATCAGCTAGCAATGCCCGTCGGGGGAGGCGGTGGTTAGGCATGCGCAGCACGTGACCTAGCCATCTTAGTCTATGTAACTTTATAGCCTCGTCGATTGATTTTCCCTCTTTGCCCAACACTCTACGCCTAACGTCAACATTACTTACCTTATTAAACCACCTAACGTGAGACAGAGATCGCAGACATCTATGATCGAAAGCAGTCAACCTTTTCATGTCTTCAACGCGTATTGGCCATGTTTCAGAGCCATAGAGAAGGACGGAGCGAACTGATGAGCAGTACACACGTCCCTTGGTTGATAACCGGATGTCACGCCTACGCCAGAGATGGTGTAAGTCAGCGAAAGCAGCTCGAGCTTTTCGGATCCGTGCTGAGATTTCATCGCCAATCAGTCCGTTGGTGCTAATACAACTTCCCAAGTAGGTGAAGTGGTCAACATGTTCTATCACTTCACTCCCTATCACTAAGTTAGGGGTTGACGTGGTCCAGTCCTGTAGCAGCATCTTACATTTTGTAGGGGCGAATCGCATGCCAAACATACGAAGATTGCTGCTCAAGGTGTTCAGAAGACTCTGCATTTTGTCAGCATCCTCCCCTAACAGGACTATGTCATCTGCATATTCTAAGTCCATAAGATTATTCCCTGGTAACAAGTCGATTCCTAAGTCATTACGTTCAGTTAAGGATACTTCCATTAGCATATCTATGATGAAGTTAAACAGAAATGGGGAAAGTGGACATCCCTGTCGGACACCACTGGTTGTTACCAATTCAGATGACAATTCCCCATAAGCCCTTACACGACTACGTGAGTTTGAATAGAGTGCCTTGATTAGTGCAATGTACTTTCTTGGCACTCCCTTCACAGTCAGACATTGCCATAGTACCTTTCGATCCACGGAGTCGAAGGCCGCCTTCAAGTCAAGAAATATGACAATTGTTGGACGCCGAAAAGTGTGTCTATGTTCTAGAATCTGTCGAAGAGTGAAGATATGATCTATGCACCCTCTACCTGGTCTAAAGCCTGCTTGATTTTCCCTTGTCTGTTCCTCCCGAGTTCTGCTTAGTCTATGCATGATTACTGAGCCTAGGATTTTAGAGACTATGTTCGTTAGGCTGATCCCCCTATGATTATCACACGAGGACTTGTTTCCCTTCTTGAATATCGGTATAATAAGTGACTTACCCCAGTCTGATGGCACTGTCTCTGATTCCCAGACTTTGCCTAGTACCTCAGTTAATCTACAAACTAGTATGTCACCCCCATATTTAAACACCTCCGGAATAATTCCGTCGGGTCCTGCCGCTTTGCCTCGTTTCAAATTACTGATAGCTTTTGTAACCTCACTTACAGACGGCGGACCAGTGTCTATATCCCATTCGGGTGTGTTGGATGTCGGGGAGGTTCAGTGTGGCTGTAGGCAAGTTAAATTGTTCTCAAAGTGTTCTTTCCAGCGTTCAAGGCGTCTATCCTGAGAGCTAATTAAGGAGCCATTTTTCTCAGAAATAGTCTCACTTATGAATTGCCTTCTCCCACCCGATTCGTGATGAGTCTAAAGAGTTGCCTAGTGTTGCCTATCGCCGATGCTTTTTCCATCTCTTTCGCCTTTGTCACCCACCACTGTTCACGGTCCTTGCGGAGACTTTTAGTAAGTTTCCTTTTGTGCAGCTTTCGCTCCTCATTGAATTCGGAGCTCGCCGGAATAAGTCTTCTAGCATCTATCAGTTCGGATGAGGCAGTCGAAATCCAGTGGTTTTTACTCACCTTTGGATTTGCCTTATTCACAGCTTTTACAGCTGTATCTATAGCTGACTGAATATTCTTCCAGGCTTCTCCAGGGTGAGCACAGCTGTCGAATTCAGATATGCGTTTAGCTAGTTCTTCCTCAAATAGGGATTTAGTTTCCTGATCGAGCTGGGGACGTGATGGTTTTACCGCCAGCTGTTTCCTACGTCCGTTCAGTCGTAAGCACACACGAGCCCGGACCAGTGCGTGATCGGTATCTACACACGTGTTCCAGAAGGAGCGACAATCTCCTACCGACCCACGCCAACGATAGCTTATTGCTATGTGGTCTATTTGTGTCCAGCGTTGGTTTGATGATGGGGGTCGCCAGGTTAAACAGTGTCTCTCCTTGTGTTTAAAGTTAGTGCTTACAAGAAACAAATGATTATCTGAACAGAACTGTAGGAGACGGTCACCGTTGTCGGTTCGCTGGCACGGAACTCCATAGGTGCCACCGACATCCTTCTCAGATTGACACAATTTCCCTACTTGAGCGTTAAAGTCACCAGCTAGAACGACTATATCTGAGCGTTTAGCCTTTCTCACCAAACTAGACAGCTTTTGGTAGAACTCATCCTTCGTTTCATCCGAACTGCAGTCAGTGGGGGCGTAGGCGGAGATTACGAAAAGGCATCGGCGAGTAGTGCAGTCCTTTCTCCTTCTTACTGATCCGTTCAGACGGACAGCACACATTCGGCTATCTACTGGGATCCAGTCAAGCAATGTCTTTTCTGCCCTAGTACTCAAGCTATCCCTACGCCAGCTAATCCTCGTGAACTAGCTGTGGCATCTCCTGACACCCTCAAGGTGAATTTTGAAGATTCATCCTGTTGGCCAGGTGGGGTTAGGTGAATAACCACACTTGGGTCTTGTATGCGTGTTTCTGAAACACAACATACATCAATGGCTCGAGATGCCAGGGTCTTAGCTAGTGATGCTTGTTGTCCTATTTGGCAAAGTGTCCTAACATTAAATGCTCCTATATGAAATTGGTGGCGTGGCTTTAGGAGACTATCGGTGGTTTTTTGGCTTTCGTCGTTTTTAGTGGACACAGAGTGAAGAGGGAGTGAGGAGCCATCAAGTAGAGGAGTTGCATCAGTGGGAGGAAGGCAAGGTAATAGAGATGAAGATGAAGACAAAGATAAGTGAGGATTAGAGAGGTTTTGTGTGCATTTCGGATTGTGAGGGCGTTTGTTACTTCCCGGCTGCCCACACCGTGGAAGTTGGTTGCGTGACCGCAGAGCCCAGGGGACAACTGCTTGAGGCCGGTCACACACGGCCTGTTTTTGTTTGCTGTCTCTTTACTCTGGAGGGAGAGAGGGGGTTAGAAAACGTCGACCCCAACAGTAGTACATCCCGACTTACCCTACGGTGGTCCGTAACCGGTGGTAAGTTACTAATACGGAACTAAACCTAAAAGCCAGTTCATACAGGCTGGGTGTGACCGGCCTCAAGTAGTTGTCCCTTGGACTCTGCAGTCACGCAACACTCTCTTTCTGTTTCAGGTACCTGAAGAACCGATCAACCTCCACGGTGTGAGCACCCGGGATGTAACAACCACCCACACACTTCCAAGAGCATACATTACCATATCATAATGACATTTTCTTGATTCTCGTCAACTCTTGTTTAGTGACATTTATGTTTCTTTTTTCAGTTAAATTATGAAGTGATTCATGCATTGTATTCTTATTTTTCAGTGCCTGATGCAACAGCTTATGGGGGTAATCCTGGTGAGTTAACCGGTTTTATTGTTGTCTTTATGGAAAATCTCATTCATTCTATATATATATATATATATATATATATATATATGTTTGATGCACAGTAATAAGAAAATTTGATGCGTCATCGGTGGTTCGCTGGTGGTAGAACTACTCACCAACTATGCTACACACGTGGTCTAAGGTTCCACTCTGCTGATGCACTCTCATAAGCCTCGCTTAGCCACCCAGCCAGTCAACCAGCCGGTAGTAACGTAGCCCAGTAAAATGGGAAGGTTGGGCTGGGCGAATTGAGACTAGTAATTCCACCCTTTGCTGAAATGTTAAAGCTCAAATCTTGAAACCCTAGATCCCACTAGCAAAACATCGGTCCACTTTGACATGAATATACCTGTTAACTTGCTCTTGTATAGTTGAGTATATTGTCTGTACCAGGTGTCCGCTTGTAAAGCGTGCTCGGCAACACTGTCATCCAGCTTAGTTGACAAAGGGAAAACGCAAAGATAAATATATATATATTAGTTTGGTAATAGAACATCTTGTGAATTCTGGGCATTCAGCTCTATTTGGTGTAAAGTCCTTCAATAGCATATACAAGATCCCATTCAACTTTTCTATCAAAGGGAGTGTATCTAATGTGTATATCCCATGAACGCAGAGAAATGGAGAAAAAATAAACTGACAAATTTGTTCACGAGTTGACATCAGCTAGACAGCCATTGGAAAACCACTAGGGATGTACTGGACGTCTGTTTCATCCTCGTCGTTTGGGACTCCCCATTAGTACTCACCCACCGGGAGTCGAACTCAGTACCTTTAAGCCACCGGGACCTGACCCCAATGCTCCATGAATTCCAACTTCTGCCGATTTGTGATATATTGCACAACCTTCAACCAATGGTATTGCCGATTAACTGTTCTCTTACCTAACTTGGTTGACCCCATCGGTTACAACTTCTCAGTATAACTCCAGTTGCTAGTGTGCATCAGATTGATTATTCAAGTGTTGATGTGTGGGGATTTGATTGGTAGCTACAGTTTTGATCATGAGTTTGTCGTGTGAGGTGGTGTCTGCTAGCCAAAATTAATAGACAGCAATTTGCGTCAATGTTTGTTTATATCCCAAATATTGATCATAAGAAGAAAAACAAGAACAAAGACTAACTCAACAACCAATCACAGCAGACTGCGTAGGCGGATACGATTAGCAACTATATCAAACGGACTATCTAAGAAACAGCAACACAGAGTTGACAGAATAACCTTCAGCAAGAAAACTACCAGTCAGAAGTCGTTGCCTCTGTGTTGACAATAACGAATAATAATTTACATAAAAATCTATAAATATCTGTTGATTTTCATAATAAACGATCTGTTGCCTGACCCTTGTCTTCTGACGTTACAAGTTGACATCAGCCACCAATCAAATACCTGCAAACCAATATCAGTGATTTATTTGTTTTGTAAGCCTGATAAATAATACATCATCGTTTATAATTACTTATGATGAAGTCAGTTAAAATAAACAATTTTTATTCCGACCTTTAAATCACCACATGCCAGTTGGATTGGAGATAAACATTATTGTTAACAGAAGTTATACTTCATAGGCTGGTCATTGGATTCTGTTCCATTGGTTGGATGAATGATCATCAATGTCGCCTTGTATAACCTATAGGTAGGTAGGTAAGATGCTGCTACAGGACTGGAGCACGTCAACCCCTAACTTAGTGATAGGGAGTGAAGTGATAGAACATGTTGACCACTTCACCTATTTGGGAAGCTGTATTAGCACCAACGGACTGATTGGCGATGAAATCTCAGCAAGGATCCAAAAAGCTCGAGCTGCTTTCGCTGACTTACACCATCTCTGGGGTAGGCGTGACATCCGGTTATCAACCAAGGGACGTGTGTACTGCTCACCAGTTAGCTACGTCCTTCTCTATGGCTCTGAAACATGGCCAATACGAGTTGAAGACATGAAAAGGTTGACTGCTTTCGATCATAGATGTCTGCGATCTCTGTCTCACGTTAGGTGGTATAATAAGGTAAGTAATGTTGACGTTAGGCTTAGAGTGTTGGGCAAACAGAGAAAATCGATCGACGAGGCTATAAAGTTACATAGACCAAGATGACTAGGTCACGTGCTGCGCATGCCTAACCATCGCCTCCGCCGACGGGCATTACTAGCTGATATAGATAGTTGGAGGTTGGAAAAGAGCCAGTGGTGGCCAAACAAAAACATGGCCTCATCAATCCATGAAATCCTTGACAGTTACACTGAGTCAGGTAGGGAGATTCAGACTTCCGGGTTGAGGCCCTCGGGACTGACTCTAGGAATCAATGACTGTAGACAATAGGTGACATGGCTCAAAATCGTTGTCAATGGCCAGCGCAGATGTATTCAGTCTCTGTAATCTTTCATATTCCTTTCTACCATTACCCATTCTGTTTCACTCTCATACTTGTCAAACTCTATTAATTCACTTCACTCATCTTCTTGTCTACTTCTGTGTGGTATTTGGAACGTGGCAACTGGAACTGGTGCACTTCGGTGCCAAATTCTATGTTGAATCCAGATAGACAGGTAGGTCCCCCAGGTGCATACTTTTGAAGAGGGATCTCAAAAAACTAGGACGAAACAGCTCTCCAGCACACTCTTGGTTTTCAGTGCTTCTCTAATTGATATGAATCTGTGATTGAACTTGCAACCAATCAAATCTCCACAAAATAACACTGAATGACTGACTGGTTTCAACGTAGAACTTAGCACAGGTTGTGCGCTGGTTCCAGTTGCCACACTTCTCTTGGCATACAAAGCAAGAGAAGAGAGTAAAAAGAGATTCAAAGCGAAGGTATGAGGTAAAAAGAATAGTAATATGGAAGAATAATATAGTTTTATTGGATATTATAAGTCACAAGGAGTGGATGCATCTGCACCATCCATTGAGAATGATTTTCAGCCATATCACCAATTGTCTCCAGCCATTGATTTTTACCTTCTGGAGGATACCGACCAGGAAGTCTACACCTCCCAATATGGCTGGGTTAAACTATAACTCGGCCACCCCTCCGCACACCTCTTGAAATGCTCCCATATGACCGGGCGTCTTACATAGCCTCTCCTGAGGAAGTCCTACTCACTGCCTTCACGTGGCGGAGGTGTTTCTCACCAAAGTAAGAGGGCGAAAGCGGATGCCCGGCGCTCTCCACCGGGTTGACTGTCCATTGGATGACAGTCTAGGGGAGATGGCTAAACCCTGATTCCAAACCTCCAACGATTGGCGTATGAAGCTCACTGGAGCTCACCGGCAGACGTATGGACAAAGGGCTTGTTGGATGTCCTGGATGTCTGGCCCCATTCAAAAAGGCGTATGAACCGAACTCCGGTCATCGGCTGCCAATGGATAGTGGACTCCTTACTCCACTCCTACTGCCTTGTAGGTCACACTTGGTTGTGTAAAGGCTAGAGCTGCACTCTCAAACAAAAGGCCGAGCGATTCTGGGGACATCACTCGTACCAAATTCCCATGAAACTTCATGAACTCTCTTACAAATTGCCGCGCCTGGGCAGCGATGATTCGAGACGTTCATGAAGCCGGCTCATCCTCCCGTAGGAGATAGCCGAAGTAAAAAAAAAAAAAAAAAAATAACTGGTCATGGATTTCACTAACTGATTCCATATTTTCTTTTGACTACCACTGGAGGTCTTTTCCAACCTAATCAATCTTATGTAACTTAACATTGCCTGTCAAGAAAAGTTATGGCTAGGAATGAATAACACATATCCTAACAATTTCAATCAGTGTAACTTCACAACCTCGTCTATTAATTTCCCCTCTTTACCTAACACTTGATGCATAAGTTCAATTCTTTTTGGTTTAGTTGTGTTCTCTGAGCTGAATAGTTAATTTGCGAAGCTTTCATTCCCCTACTTGGCGACATCTTAAGCGCATACTTCAACTTGTTGACTGTCGACCAAATGATGTGTGTACTGCTCACCAGTAGGTCATCTCTAGCGTAGACGTAATATCCGGCAGGATTCCACTCGGTCCTCTTTTATAGCTGTGACACGTAGTCACTGAGAGTAGCAGACTTCAAAAGGTAAGTTATCTTTGATCAAAGGTGACTGTGTTCTGTCTCCCGTGTTAAGTGGTATGATAAGTTCAGGATTACTGAGATTAGGCGTCCAGTCCTAGGTGAGGAGGGAAAATCAAACGACGAAGTTTTGAAGTTACACCGATTGAAAGAGATGGTTAGGACATGTGTTACGCATTCCTAGTCATCGCCTTACTCGACGGTCTGGTTGGAAAAGACTTCTAATGTTGGTCAAACAAAAATGTGGCTTCATTAGTCAATGAAATCCATAATAGTTAGTTTAAGCCAGCCAGACACGTAGGAAGGTATGTAATAATAATAATAATAATAATAATAATCACTTTATTCCACAACAATAACAATTTACAGCATGGAATTTTCAGCGTTTCTTTTACATATTGCAATGGTTTAGCTCTGTTTATAATTATATAAATATATAAAATGTTAAAATATTGATAGTTAATAGGAAAAAATAATAAAAAAATAAATAAATAAAAATAAAAAACCCAACAAAATCATACCATTTCTAGGTCATAGTGAATAATAAATAAATAATATAACAAATAACACATGCATTAATATGCATCATTTCATTTTATAATTTAGTTATTGATTCAAAAGTTGTAAAAGTTCTTTTCTGATATTTGTCTCTTCACACAATACTCGTGCCAAATATGGAACGGTCGAATTTTTATATTTTGTAGTACGAGCATAAATGTTTATAAAATTTCTTCTGGTCTTACCCGAAGAGATACAAGGAAACAATTGTGAATAAAGAGGATGTTCACTATCAGATAAGATAACTTTAGCTAAGTGTTTACAAGAATTCATATGCCTATTGACAACAGTGTCATTTAGTTCAGTCAAAGGGATAGCACTGACCCTACTTACAGCCCTCAATGTTCTTCGTAGTATTATATGATCTTTCTTGAGTAGCCCAGGGAAGAATAATGGAGAACAATAAAGAATGATGGGCAAAACACATGAATTAATAAATTGTATGATAAGAGATTGAGTTATACCTGAGTGTCTCAACTTCTTTATGTAATAAGTCAGACGGAAAACTTTCTTAGAAACTATAAGAATATGAGACGACCAGCAAAGATTTGACGAGAAACTAATGCCAAGATAAGAAACATTTGACTTACTCTCAATCATGGTACCATCAATACTACAACAATCATGAGATTGAATCAATCTATGCATGTCTTTTTCACTTCTCAGGCTGAAATCAACAGTGTTACATTTAGTTGGATTTAGTTTAAGACCATTTGAGCGAGACCAATCCTTAACTTCAGCTAGGAAGCCATTCATATAGGAACAATCCGATGTGGCAACTACAGGGACAGAAACGGTCAGGTCATCAGCATACTTAATGAAGTTAACTTCGGGTGAGTTCGGAAGGTCATGCAGAAAGAAAGAGAAAAGAAATGGAGAAAGTACTGCACCTTGAGGCACACCACTTTCAGTTAGCTGGGAAGTGGAGCGCTTTCCAGCCAAAACAGTATGCTGTTTCCTATCCTTAAAATAAGAAGACAGCCATCTAGTTGCCCAGGACTCTGTTTGTGCTGAATTCATCTTGCCTAATAAAAGTGTCCTAGGAACAGAGTCAAAAGCTGCAGTATAGTCTAAGAAAGCTGTTCGAACGAACTTAGCGCCCTTATCAAGGCAGGAAACAATATTGTGGTGTAGTACAATGGCTGCATCTAATGTACTTCTTCCACACTTATAAGCAAACTGCTTAGGGTCACTAAAAGCTTTTAAAGAAGGTTTAAGAATATTCAAAAGAAGTTTCTCCATTGTTTTCAAAAAAGGAGATGTTATAGCGACTGGTCTAAACTTTATACCTGCTCCAGAAGATGATTTCTGTACAGGTACAACCTTGATTTCTTTCCAGTCAGCAGGTACCGTTTCCCTCTTAAATGATGCGTTAAAGATTTGAGTAAGAGGATGACACAAGATGTCTGCACACTTTTGGAGAAGAATGCTTGGTACACCATCTGGACCAAGGCTGTGTGTTGGATTTAATGACTTCAAACATAATAGTACATCCTTTTCTTCAAAACCCTGAAAATGACCATTTTCTTGACTAGGTACATCAGGTACAACCATATTAATTTGTTTCTTGATAAATGATTTGTTTAAAGCATTTACATCAGAATAAGCATCAACGGACATTTGTTTTTTACTTGTTAGTTTATTGAAAAGTTTCCAAATGTTTGAAGGATTTTTACATGATAAAAATTTTTCATTATATAGTCTGTTCAACCTTTCTATTTCAATTTTTATAAGGGTGTTTATTTTACGGACACCAGTATTATCACAATTCTTATACAACTTCTCTTTTTGTCTTCTAAGTTTTTTCAGTTGCAAAGAAGAGATTCTGTCAAATCTCGAAAACAGTGTTTCATAAGGACAGCAAATATCCAAACAAAACTTCAGATAATCGGTTATATTAGAGACAGTAGCATCCAACTTATCGTCAGTAAACAGTTCCCAGTTGGTATCATGCAACATGCTTCTTAATGCTAGAATGTTGTCATGGGAATATGAACGTTCATGTATCTTCTTTGTTAAATGACTAAACAATTTTCGTTGTAACTTGCCGTACACTTTCGGTAAAATACGAATAATGCAGTGGTCAGAATTTAGCAAAGGAGCTCTCCTTCGGGTTTCATATACATCACGGTCATTTATGAAAACCAGGTCTAGTGATTTGTCCAGACGTGTATTAAACTTGACTAGATTCTCATGACCAAGCGAAGTAAGAAAGCTGTGATCACATAAATTAAAATCACCACAGACTATAGACAACGAGTTTCCGAATGCAGGAGCAGCGAATTCAGTAAACTCATCTGCAAACATAACTATATTAGAAAGGCTACAATTGGGTGTTATGTAAATATTTGTTATGTATATATAAGAATATTTACTTAAGTGTTTTGGGCGACACCTGACGGTTATGCAATCTATACTGTCATTAGAATAATTGAAGCAAACGTGATTTGATGTAGACCAATTTGTGTTTATATATGTGGCTACCCCTCCTCCATATTTTTTCTTGGAACTATTTCTATCTTGGCGAAAAACTTTATATCCATTTATTGAAATTAGATTATCATCATAATGCTGGTGCAGCCAAGTCTCTTGTATTGCTAAAACGCCAGCATTTCGATAAACATTGGAATACATTAGGGATTGAAGGTAATCCATTTTGTTGGACAGGGATCTACAATTAGTGCTAACGAGTTCAGGAACAGTCATTTGATTAATTTGTGTACGTTTCAGTGCACGCTGCCAGCCACAGTGATGCTTTTTTCTCAATTTTTGTGGATGACACAACGCGGTAGGTTGTAATGATTTTAAAAATGCGCGATTATATATAATACGATTAGGACACATTATTGATAAATTAAAACAAAATTAAAAGAGCAAACCAAAGCAATTTTGCAAAATGTTGTAAGGTGGAATTTTTGGTAGCCCTATGTTCAAGCAGGCCGCCATGTAGACTGCCTGCCTACCTGGTTGGGGTCCTTGGAATGGTAAAAACCAATGAAAGGCTGGAGGCGATCGGTGATACGGATCAAAATCCTCGTTGTCAATGATCTTGCAGATACATTCACTTTTTGATTTATATTAAGAAGACATTTGTAGCGAAGAAAATTTTCTTTTCGACGAAGTCATCATCTAGGCTCTACATCCGTGTATTTATATCAAATGGATGAGAAACTTCCAGAATAATTTCCGGTCAAGGGTCAAATTAATAAAAATTACAATTAGGAATTAGAATGCCATAATAAACAGGGGGATGGATAAAACTCAAACAAAGTAGCATCATAATAACTAAGAAGATTGACATTGTGCAATTAGGCATTAGAAATGTATTAATAGCAAAATAGACAGGATGTTTGGATAAAAAAACTAATGTGACGAATAATTTTCTTTGCAATCAGGAATTAAATATGTAGAAATAGTAAAATGACAAAATAAACACGAAGTTCGGGTATGAAAATATGGTAGTGTAAACAGGGATTAAGAAAAACTTAAAATATAATATGAATAAACAGGTGGTTTGGATAAGAAAGACGATGGGATGGTCATTGCTAAAACAAAAATTACTTGTTTATGATGGCCATGGCAGGTACAGGAGTTGAACGTATTTCTTTTGGATACAAAGTGTGGTTTTGAGTTTTTGGATAGCTAGCGCCTCGGCTATACCCAGATGTCTTGATTTCACTCCCTTTGATTAGATTTGATTGAATCTTGTACAATACTTTGAAGGATTTTTCGAAAGGCGCTGAATGTCCTGAATTGACCAGATGTTCTGTGACTGAACTGTATACACGCTTTTGGTCTCCTTTTACTAACCAGGCTAGGTAGTGTTCACGAGCGCGTTTTTCAAGTCAGTGCATGGTACGGCCAATGTACTCAGCTCCACAAGTGCAAGTAAACTCTTTTTGATTTGTCAGTTATATCCAATCAAAGTACTCTATTGTTCTCCCATAATACTATTCTTTTTCCTTCATTCGCTCACACTTCTCTTTATTACCTCTCTTTACTCTCTTCTCGTGCTTTGTGTGCTACATGTGGAGTGTGACAGTTGGGACTGCCGCATATCTGTTGAAACTAGTCAGTCAGTTCATGACTTGCATAGTAATGAGTTAAATATTTAGTGTCTTAATGGTAACTGTTGTAATCCCGGCTGATAACTGCTACCTTGCCGTGGTGGTCGGGCTTGAATACCCCAGTGACACAACAAGCCGAACTGACTGGGACTCATATCCCTGCAGGTCCTACCATGTCAGGAAGGTTGTTTGGATAGCGGTTAAAAACTAAAAGCAGTTACCATGGGGCGCATGGGCTCCAGTATCTAATCGGATCGAATAGCGTATGAACCCATATGGGTCACCGGAAACCATAGGAATGCAGCTCCTGACGCTGCTGCGCTCCCTTGCGGATTAGACTCCAAGTCAAAGGCTCGGAAGGTGGTCCCTTAATAAAACCACCTGCTTCGGTCTGGGCGCCCGGGCAGTATCTCAGCCCTCACACAACAAATTGAATGAAGCAACAAACAATCAATGAAACTTATCGCGTGCTATTACACGTGTTGCAATTTCCTTCTTTCTTCCGTACCCGATGATAGTTAACGAATACTGTGTGAACTTGTTAAGCACGACTGTTTTGCTTCCAGATGAAGTTCTTTATCCGTTCTCTACTTACATATATATATATTCTCTTCTTTCTTTTTTCTTTTGATCTATGTTGTTTTATTATTATTGTGTGGCGCATCCTTCTTGGTGCCATATTGTTTAAATAAAATAATAATAAATAACTGTTGTAATAATACTTTATTTATGTATATGTAGGTGGATTTGCCCCTCTTCCTGCACAACCACCGCCTCAGTCCAATTATCCGTATCCAACTGGAAACTATGCACCTCCTACACAACCAATGGCTCCTGCGGGTAATCCCTATATTCCAGGTACCAGTTCTTATGGTCAACCACCACAACAGGGTCAACATTTTGTCGGACAGAATGGTCAACCCTATCAAGTTGTTTATGTTGATGGTAAACCGAAAAAGAAAAAGTTCGGCGGTGGACTTAAAAATGCTGCTGTTGGTAAGTGGTTAGTTATTAGTAGAATGATCCACTTTTCCTGTCATATCATCAGGACATCTCTTTATGTTTTTGTTGCATTGGCAGTATGTTACATGGAAGGTCCGGGGTTGATTCCCGACCAATACACTCTTAACCTTCCACATCAAGTGTACTAGCCAGTAGGAAGCCGGGTAAATAGTGGGGAGGGGAAGGGTTGGGGCATGTGAAGCTAACGGTGACCCTATTCGGTGATAAAATGACATGACTGCTACTGTGAAGCCCATGTGTTCTATTACGAACTCAAGAAGAAGTAGTGAGTTCCGTATTCATGAGTAAATTGATTTACTGCGTTTAGAAGTTAGCGAGATATTAGGGAGTTGTTCATATAATATGTGTGACTCATTAACTGAGGGTGCAGTGCCTAACATAATGGGGACTACATACATATGCACTGAAACGCGTAATTCATGGTTAGATATGAATTCATCCTTTCTACAGGATTTTATCATTAGCTGACATCGGTTAGAGAACCACTGGAAAATTACCAGGGAGTGCTGAACATCATGACCAATACAAAATCACAAAATTTCATGCCGGATCGGCCGTGGCCCGGATTAACAACGACCGCGCTTCCTGCTGCCCTGTCACAGGGCAGGAGTGGTAAGTATGCTACTGAGGCACACCAAACAAAAGAGAACAAACAAAAACAGGCCGCGTGTGACCGGCCTCAAGCAGTTGTCCCCTGGGCTCTGCGGTCACGCAACCAACTTCCACGGTGTGGGCAGCCGGGAAGTAACAATCGCCCTCACAATCCGAAACTCACGGACATCTGTTCCGTCAGTCTAGTTTGGAACTCTTTTCGCAGTATGCACCCACCACAGGGTTTCGAACACAGAGCCTTCTGGATACAACGCGAACTCGTAGACAACCAAACCATTAGGACTTAGTCCAATGACCAACGAGCTTTTCTTGTAACCGGCAGGTGTGCTATGATTTGAACCCCTGTGGTGGTGGATGCGTACTAATGATGAACCCAAACTATGGAGACGAAACAGCTATCCAGCACCGCAGTACTGATTTTTAGTGGTTCTCTCTCTCTCTCTAACTGATATCACTCCGTAATCAAACTTGAAACAACTCAAATCCTAACCTTATACTCTCTCGTTTTCTGGTCCTCAAAGAAGAAGAAATCAGCCTCCATTGTGTCGGCAGCAGGTAGGTAATAATCGCCCACACACTTCCACAAGCAGTCGTAACGACTAAAATCGACTAATTGTGGTCTGAACGCAGGAAACCGAACTCTGTGGCTTACTGTGTACGACTGTCCAAAACTGTCTTGAAAGATGCACAGTTACAAAATTCTCCAAAGGCCGTTAAAAGACGATTGTTTGTGATTGGAACCTATGTGTGACACTATTCCGTAGTAGTAATAGTAATGACAAGAACTCAAAATTGCATCAAAAAAAGTACTGTAGAACACGATTAATTGACCAAAATTTAACTGTTAGAAAGTACCTTAGAATCAAGTAGAATACTCCCGCATAAAAGTGGGATCGAAATCTCTGTGCACAAGACTCAAAGACTGATGCTTCGCGCGGACAATTCAGCGTCAAAATGCCTTGATTCAGTCAAACAAAATCACATCGTGTAAAACATCACATTACCAATATCATGATACAACCAGAAAAAGATGTATTAAAATGAAAGATTAAACAGGGAGGGACAAAGATCAACATCATATGATATGCAAATGTCGGAACAATGATATACTACAGTCCAGCAGAAAGACAGATGATAATAATGATTGCGAAGTTAGTTGACATGTGCAATTAAGTATCAACATTGTATCATGATCTGACATCAGTTAAAAACCTTCGAGTACTGGACAGTTTTTTTCCCGTCCTAATTTGGGACTCTTCATCAGAATGCACCCACAATGCGACGTTCTAACCCAGCACCGTCTGGTTACAAAGCCAGCGAGCTCGTAGACCATTAATCTACTGGCACCCGATCCAATGGCCAGCCCATGAATTATAACTTCTGCCAATTCACGCATGACATAGCGCGACCACTTCACAATTTTTTCTTCGAGGAGTTACTGCCTCACCTTCAACCTGCTGTACCCTAATGGTCACGACTTCCCACTAGAACCCCAGGATCGCGTCCCAGTGGCTTAATGATCTACGAGCTTGCCTTGTAACCAGAAGGTCATGGGGTCGAACCGCGCAGTGTGGGTGCATAATTCTGAAGAGTCCCAAGCAAGTCCGACGAAACAGCTGTGCAGTAATCCCTGTACGTTTTCCAGTGGTTCTCTAACTGATGTCAGCTCATGATGAAATCCTTCAACCAATCGAACAAAAATCCCTACCAAACCAATACTTGAAAATATCAACATTGTAATTAGGTCGTTCACACGAGGGATATTCCAAACAGTTATTCCATTACACCACTGCCTCACTGTTCAGTGGACAGTCATATTTGAACAACTTTTTGTATTGAGGTTAATTTGAACATAGTTATCAATAAAAAGTATGGCCTAACTTTTTATAACATGACTATGTTTTTTCCTCTCTCTCTCTCCCTCTCTCTACAGGTCTAGCCTCTGGAGTTGCTGGAGGTTATCTAGCAAGTCGGCTGTTTGGTGGTTGGGGTTCAGGTTGGGGAGGTGGTTGTCATGGTTTCATGGGTCCAAGATGGGGTAGTTGGAGTTCACTGTCCAGTTTCAGTTGGTCTGATTAAATCACTGTGTCATTATTAACCAAGAGAAAAAATGCTTTTCTGTTCTTTATTTGTGCGTGTGTGTGTATAAGTAAGTAAGTAAGTGCAGTTTTTTTTAAATCTCCGAAGACGTTCTTCAATGAAGAGTTACTCTTCTTTTCGGCGATATCATTCATTCTCAAGCTGTGCAATTCCATATATGTATTTGTCTATTTTCGACATAGGATTTTCCACCGATGTGCGGCAGTTCAAATCGTCACACTCCATGTAGCACACAAACCAAGAGAAGAAAGTAGAAGAAATGCATAATAGAGACAGGAAACAGAGGTGTCAGACAAAGAAATGGTAATAAAGAAGAACAAAACAGTTTCATTGGAAATCATAAGTCACAAGGAGTGGATGCATCTGCACCAGCCAATGAGAACGATCACTTTGAGCCATATCACCAATTGTTTCCAGTCACCATTGGTTTTTACCGTCCTGAGGACCCCAACCATTCAGGATGTCTACACCTTCCTGCGTGGCTGGCTTAAACTAACTGTTGTGGATTTCATTGGCTGGTGCCATGTTTTGGTTTGATCACCACTAGCTCTTTTCGGACTTGGCCCTATGTCAGCTAACATTGCCTGTCGTTCGAGGAAGGCGATGACTAGGGATACGTAACACATGTCCTAAACATCTCAATCGATGTAACTTCACAGCCTCGTCTATTGATTTCCTCTCCCACCTACCTAGCACTCGACCAAGGCCTAACCTCAATACTGCTCACTTTATTATACCACTTCACACGGGAGATAGAGCCCAGGCACCTATGATCAAAGACAGTTAGCCGGCCTTTTCATGTCTTTCACTCTCACTGGCTAGGTCTCACAGCCGTTAAGGAGGACGGAGCGGATTGCTGATCAGTACACCCGCCTCTTGGGTGATAGCCAGCCAGATATCACGTCTACTAGACCAGAGACGGCGTAAACTGGCATATGCGAAACCAGCCCTCTGTATCAGCGATGAGATTTCGTCATAGACCAAACCGTTGGCGTTGGCTGATGCAAATTTCCAAATAAGTGAAGCGGTCGACGTGCTCCACCAACCACTTCACTTCCTATTTCTAAACAATGAGTCAGTGTAGTCCAGTGCTGTGACATCATCTTACATTTAGCGGGAGCGAACCACATGCCATACATTCGTGGATTGCAGCTCAAGGGGTTAAGTGACACAATTGACTAGAATTCAGCTAAAATTTGAACGAGTGTCAGTTTATTTATTTATTATTATTATTATTGTTCCCTTGGGTTCCTAGTGGAACATAGGGCTTCAACTGCACGTCTCCAGTTGCTTCTGTCGTGCTTCTACTGTACTTTTCGCCTGCATCCATGTTAGTCAGTCCACACTGTTTCAACTCCTCTTCCCACGATCTCCTCCATATCGCCCTTGGACGTCCCACTCGAGGGTCTGACGCGCCATATCACCTAGTGACCTCCTCAGTGAGTGTCCAATCCATCTTCACTTTCTCCTGCATATTTGTTGGGCGATTCATTGGTTCTTGTTTTGTTTGTCACCATAGTTTCTTGTTGGTCAACGCTGTTGAAGTCCTTCTCAAAGTCTATTAAAGTTGAGGTAGAGATTTGATTGTCATTCGATGCTGGCGAGTAAATGGAGTTGCTAGCACCACACGCCTCAACCCTTCTTATTTATCCGGGCTTGGGACCGGCTAGAAAACTAGCGAGCTAGTAATCTAGGCGAGGTTGAAGAAGATATTGCAATTAAGAAACAGAAAGCAGAAATTACGTATTTGGTGTTAAGATAGATCAGGTTCATTGTAGATTTAATAACTAAATAAAATTCTTCTTGTATATGCAGAGTTCAGGATTTCACATGTGAATTGCCACCATTGCTTCTGCGGTTTGTAGAAGTTTGATTCGTTGCGCTCTTTTAGCGAGATTCCCACGTATTCTGTAGATAACTTTGAAGTCCACATTCGATCAGGTGTTCCAGAATAGAGCTGTGACAGGAGGAGTATCTTTCTTCTCCTTTATGAAGCCATGAGGGTCAGTCATTGTTCGATAATACGTTTGGATAACAAATGCTGTGTACAGTCCAACATACTTAATCGCACACAAGCAGATGAATTAGTAGATGCATATTGATGAGGCCGGCCAACAATGGTAGCTTATCCTTTACATTCATGTGAATCATTTTAATGACACATCTTTGGAAATGTTCTTTGCATTGCTAAGAGATATTTACTATATATATGTGCGATTGTTCATCTTGAGAATGATGTCATCAAAAAGAGGAGTAACTTTTCACTGAAGAACACCTTTCATTCTATATTTTAAAATGCATTTTTGCCCATTATTGACGTTATATCGTAATTGAGAGTTATTATATAAATAATAACTCTTTTTCTTGGCTTATTTCTTATTGTTTGCCCGTCAACTTGAAGTGAATTCTTATAAACTCTTATATAATAGATTGGCATCAGTTTAGCCGTGACCAGTAGGGTATAGCAGGTCGGATGTGAAAACAAATACTCACCAGGGATGACACTTCCTAGTGCCAGTCGAGCAGTACTGTGAATTGGCAGAAGTTGAAATTCATGGGTTGCCCACACTGGATCGGGTCCCAGTGGCTTAGTTGCCTGAGTTTGGACCCCTGTGGTGGGCGTATACTAATGAAGAGTCTCAATATAGGCTGCCGCGACAGCTGTCCAGTACTCCCTGGCGGTTTTCCAATGAATCTCTAACCGATGTCAGCTATTGATGAAATCTTGTAACTAGTCAAATCAAATCCTTGCAAGCCAACATTTGAATATTAGTCAATTAAGTCGAAAGGCAAATCACATGAGAACTGAAAATGTTGAATTATGTCTCATTGGCTTTGGATAGTTGGCTTACAGCCAGTTGATTCCTCATTCGAGTCTGTTCGCTGCCCCATACTCTACTTCAACCTGGGCAACTTGATAATACAATCTGCCCTAACATTTATAAGTAGGTGTTCACAAATAAAGATTTTCGTGGTATTAAGTTTTGAAGTTTCTCCAGCGACTGGATTGAAAGTTGGCGTTTGCATCATAAAAAACATTTCCAACAGGCCTCTGCAGACTTCTGTCTATATATATCTGCCTTCGCTAGCTCCATATCAAAGATCAGATGGCTGGCCAGAATGTTTAAGAAATGTTCTAGCCATCTCAGTTGTGGTGTAACTTCACAACCTCATCGATTGATTTCCCCTCTTTACCTGGCACTCGACGGCTAACCTCAATATTACTCACCCTGTCATACCAACTAACATGAAAGGAAGAAGAAAAACACTTATCGTCAAAGGCAGCCAGCCTTTTCATGTGTCTCACTCTCGATGACCATTTCTTGCAGGAGGAAAGGGTGAACTGCCGTTGCACGGCACACATACGTTCTGTGACCGATAGACAGTTAGTTGATCACGTCTACATCAGAGATGATGCAGGTTTGCAAATGGCAAACATTTTCCTTGTATATCTGTACTTAGATTTCGTGTGCGTCGGTGGCACAGTGGTTAGGACTCTCGCCAACTATGCACATGGTCCGGGGTTCGATCCCCTCCCGACACACATCTGATATCTATGATCGGCCTGCAAAATTTGGGCTACCGATATCGCATGCTGAAAATTCCATATCTGTACCGAAAATACGGTATGGAATCAAGCTGAAAACGAAAAAAAATAATCCATTCACTGGGGCTGATGGAACTTCGCAAATTAGTGGAGTTGTCAACACGCTTCACCACTTCACTCCCTTATCTCCAACCTAGTAGTAGAGGTACTCCAATCCTGTCGAATCACCTTACATTTAACATTTGAAGATTACTCCCCAAGATGTTCACAGCAGACTGCATTTTATCAGCGCTTTCCTCACCTAAGAATACTATATCATCCGGATATTCTTGGTGAACAAGACGGATTTTGCTGGTAACAAATCAATCCCCAAAGTCGTCGGAGTCGTCAGTTACAGTTAATTCCTCTAGTAGTACTGTGATGAAATCTGTCTGCTAGCCGAAATTGGTAGACAGCAATTCACGTCAATGTTTACATTCAAAATCTTGGTCATGAGAAAAACGAAAAGAAAGACTGCGTGGGCGGATACGATTCTCATATATATATATATATATATATATATATATATATATGGTATGACCTTCAATTAAATGGCCACAAAGATACGGTAGAGCAACTTTCAGCGAGAGAACAGCCAATCAGAAAGTGCTGTTTCTCTGCTAACAATAACCTATAATAATGTACATAAAAATCTATAAATATCTTCAAGTGTCGGTTTGTACGGATTTGATTGGTAACAGGATTTCATCGTGAGCTGACATTAGTTAGAAAACCATTAGAATACCTGGGAGCACTGGATAGCTGTTTCGTCCTAGTTTGGGACTCTTCATCAGTACGCACCCACCACAAGGGTCCAAAACCATGATCTCCTGTTTACCAGGCGAGCTCGTATACCATTAAGCCACTTGGACCCGAACCAATGGCCAGCCCATGAATTCTAACTTCTGCCAATTCACGACATAGCGCGAATATTTATCCTCACACCCGGCCTGACAGAAGTTAGAATTCATGTGCCATTGGATCGGGTCCCAGTGGCCTAATGGTATACGAGCTTGGTAGCCTTGTAATTAGAAGGTCCTGGGTTCTAACCCCGCGATGTGGGTGCGTACTGGTGAAGAGTCCCAAACTAGGCTGACGAAACAGCTGGCTGTCTAGTACTCCCTGTTGGTTTTCCAATGGTTCTCTAACTAATGTCAACTCATGATGAAATCCTATAAATATCTGTTGATTTTCCTCAATAAACGATCTGTTGCCTGACCCTTGTATGGTATAGTTCAACAGAAATGAGGACAGTGAGTTGGTTGTCCTTTGGTGGACGACACCACTCAATGCTAATTGACACCCAACAATAAAACCTTAGCCTTCTCTGTCTCTCTCTCTCTCTCTGCTAAGTACTAAGTACACTTTTCTTGTTTTCTTTTTTTTTGTTTAGTTTCTCCTGTATTGTTGTCCGTTCTCATCAGTATTCTACAATACACACACACATATATATGTGTGTGTAAGTGTGTCCTTCATATCTATCAGAATAGAATGATGCCACAAAGAAAGTCACAATGATGAGATGAATACTTTTCGCGCCTGTATACGCACACGTGCACACACACGCACACATTCAAATCGTATAAACTTTACATACATACACACACACCCTCAGTAATTTCTTATTTGCTTATTTGCGAGGATTATTATTATTATAATTATTTCGAGTACACCCTTCAGATTGACTTTATTATTTCTTTTCCCTATAGTTTCTTCTATTTTGTGTACTTACATATACCTAATTTATACCTCGGAGACACGTGGAGAAAGAGAGGGACAGTGTGTGTGTGTGTGTGTGTGTATTTGCAAGGATACCATTGTGATAGTAGTAGTAGTAGTTGCACTAGTTGTATGTTTAATCTAATGTACAATAAGATTACTATTATCATTATCATCGTGATTAATTTGACTACTCGTTGTTGTTGCTGCTTTCTGTTCTCAACTAACTTTATCTGCTTTATTTTGAGTTAATGAATTGTTGCCATTCAACATAATATTTGCTCTTTCTTTTTCGTCATGTTCTTTTATTGATTAATTTTCCAGAGTGACAGGCAGAAACTCTCCAGAAATATAAATGCATTTCTAATTGTGATACCGCCTTCTTCATCAGGTCCTACAGTTATATGACGATAATAATTCAAGAATTTCAATTGGGAAGTCGTGATCATCAGTAGGGAGCAGCAGGTCGGATGTGAGGACAAAATACCCACCACGGAAGACATTGGCTAGCGGTCGCGCTATAATCGTGAATTGACAGAAGTTAGAATTCATGGGTTGGCCATTGGATAGGGTCCCAGTGGCTTAATGGTCGTCTACGAGCTCGCTAGCCTTGTAACCAGCAGGTGATGGGTTCGAATCCCGCAGTGTGGGTGGGTGCGTGCTGTTGAAGAATCCCAAAGTAGGATGAAACAGCTGTCCACTAACCGCTAGTGGTTTTCCAGTGGTTCTCTAACTGATGGTCAGCTCATGCTTAAAATCCTGTAACCAATCAATCAAATGGCTACAAACCAACACTTGAATTCATGAAATATTATTTACTAACAGCATTAATGCTGTTTTAAATTACATCAGTATGAGACAGATTTGTTTTTAATCCTTTACGTTCCCAGTGGATCACAGAGTGACTTCAAACTAGAGGCTTGAAGTTTCTGTAGCTGTGGTGTTTACTTTTACTGGATGGGAGTTGCTAGCCTCATGTTCTACTTTCCGTGTTTACCACTCTTAATACTGGCTTAGCGAGGCAGGTAAAGGAGTGCGTCGGGGATCGAACCCTGGACCGTATAAGGTGTAGTAGGTGAGCATTCTGTCTGTCTGTCTGGATTCAACATAGAACTTGGCACCGAAGTGCAGCAGTTCGAGTTGCCACATTCCAAATAGCACACAGAGGTAGACAAGAAGATGAGTGAAGAGAATCAATAGAGTTTGACAAGTATAAGAGTGAAACAGAATGGGTAATGGTAGAAAGGAGGAATATGAAAGATTACAGAGACTGAATACATCTCCGCTGGTCATTGACAACGATTTTCAGCCATGTCACCTATTGTCTCCAGCCATTGATTCCTAGAGTCCCGAGGGCCCCAACCCGGGAGTCTGCATCTCCCTACCTGACTCAGTTTAACTGTCAAGGATTTCATGGATTGATGAGGCCATGTTTTTGTTTGGCCACCACTGGCTCTTTTCCAACCTGAACCTATATCAGCTAGCAAAGCCCGTCGGGGGAGGCGGTGGTTAGGCATGCGCAGCACGTGACCTAGCCATCTTAGTCTATGTAACTTTATAGCCTCGTCGATTGATTTTCCCTGTTTACCCAACACTCTACGCCTAACATCAACATTACTTATCTTGTGAAACCACCTAACGTGAGACAGAGATCGCAGACATCTATGATCGAAAGCAGTCAACCTTTTCATGTCTTCAACTCGTATTGGCCATGTTTCAGAGCCATAGAGAAGGACGTAGCTAACTGGTGAGCAGTACACACGTCCCTTGGTTGATAACCGGGTGTCACGCCTACGCCAGAGATGGTGTAAGTCAGCGAAAGCAGCTCGAGCTTTTTGGATCCGTGCTGAGATTTCATCGCCAATCAGTCCGTTGGTGCTAATACAGCTTCCCAAGTAGGTGAAGTGGTCAACATGTTCTATCACTTCCCTCGCTATCACTAAGTTAAGAGTTGACGTGGTCCAGTCCTGTAGCAGCATCTTACATTTTGTAGGGGCGAATCGCATGCCAAACATACGAAGATTGCTGCTCAAGGTGTTCAGAAGACTGCATTTTTTCAGCATCCTCCCCTAACAGGACTATGTCATCTGCATATTCTAAGTCCATAAGATTATTCCCTGGTAACAAGTCGATTCCTAAGTCACTACGTTCAGTTAAGGATACTTCCATTAGCATATCTATGATGAAGTTAAACAGAAATGGGGAAAGTGGACATCCCTGTCGGACACCACTGGTTGTTACCAATTCAGATGACAATTCCCCATAAGCATTCCCCATGAGCATTCTACCTGTGTCCCACCGACGCGCATGAGATATCGTAACACTAAACTGACTGGATATCAGCTAAATTCAGGAAAGTAATACGGAATTTGTGAATTTATAGGTTCAACAGCAAGCCGGGGTAGCAATAGTGCTAGCGGATGGCAATGAGCTTTGTTGTTCGGAATGTTCAGTATCTAGAGGCCTTTTTGTGATAATTTATTCGATACCCGGTAGATGATAGAGAAGGACTGTTTGAACGAGGTGATTCTGTAATAGAACTGGTGATGGCTTTATCCAACACCTTCATTTCATCACTGTCATGTGATATTCATATCAGTAGGTCGTTTAATAAAGCAATTTTTTTGGGGGGATCCTTCTTCTGCGCATGTGAATTTGATAGCTGATTCTACTTCATTGAGTTGAGATATTGTTGAAAACACTTATATCCCGATACAAATTTTAGACTACCAACAGAGATTAATAAAGCAGGATTTAAAGAATTCATCAAATTTTGGTAGAACTCTTCACCTGAATACTCCTCTACATAAGGGGATATATATATACTATTGGAAATACATCGGGAGATACAATACTGATAAGCCTTTTCAAAGTCGATGAAGTTGACATAGAGAGGTGACTGCCATTTTCCAAGCCTCTATTCAATGATGAGCCACAGTGTTGCAATTTGTGATCGATGCATGACTTATTCCTCCTGAATGCAGCCGGATCTAGTCGAAGTTTTTCATCCAGGGTGATGCGGCTTAGTATTTTGCTAGGGATGGACAGGAGCATAATTCCGAGCCATAATGAAATGAATAAAGAATGCCCCTTTTCAATAACTCCTTCTTCATCAGGTTCTACCTTTTTATGATCATAATAATTTAAAAAAATCTTATTAACAACACTAATGCTGCTGTAAATAACATTGAATCAATAAAAAGACGGTTGCCACGTAGAAAATTTTCTTTTCAACGAAGTCACCGTCAACTAAGCTGTGTACCTTCGTGTATTTATATCAAATGTGTGTGAGAAAGGTCCAGAATTATTTCCGGTCAGAGGTCAGATTACTAAAATTTCTAAGTGTAATTAAAAAGAAGATAAGTAGTGGTACTATTCTAGAAATATTTCAGGCCAAAGGTCAAATTAAAAAACCTCAATGTGTAATAATCAGGAAGATCAGGTAGAAAAGACAAAATAGGAATTATAATTCCTAGAAAACTAGTCAGTTTGTACAATTAAGGATTTAGTATTAACGAAATGGGTAGGAGGTTCGGACATATAAAGATAAAAACAGTAACCAAATCTAATAATGCAGATAGGGATTCAAGTGTTGGTTTGTAGGGATTTGATTGGTTTCAGGATTTCATCATGAGCTGATAGTAGTTAGAGAACCATTGGAAAACCAACTGAGAGTACTGGACAGCTGTTTCGTCCTAGTTTGGGGCTCTTCAGCAGTATGCACCCAGCGGGATTCGAACCCAAGACCTTCCGGTTACAAGGCGAGCCCGTATACCATTAAGCCACTGGGAACCGATCCA